GCTCAACATTCCGATCTAATTGGAGAAGAGATAAAACACCTGGATTTTCATGGATATTGAGGGAGGAGGAAGATGTTACAGCCCCTTTAGGCTAATTGGTTAACAGCCATAAAGTGTCAAGAAGAAGGGAGGACTTAGAGAGTGTAGAACATGGACGATGGGTTATGCGGGAGAAGTTCAGTTAAGTTCAATTCCATGATGATGGGAGAGAAAAAGAACTTGATGTGTTGAGCATGTGGTTTGAAAGAGAGAGAATGTGAGTAAAGAGAAAGAAGGAGGTGGGGCTAGCCCACCTTAGCCTAGCTTAGTAGTGTTTTTTTTTCTTAATTTTAATGTGGATTAGTTATTTTATTTGGGTATGTTCTTTATGCTAAAGCTTGAGCAATATAAACTGATTCTATGAAACTCTATTTTTCTAATAAAAAAAATAAAAACTCTTAGAAAAGGACTGGTCTCTTGAACAGGAAGGTCTGGCTAAACACAGAAGGTGGAGAGGGCTGCAAACTAGCTATTTTTAAGAGTCCTACCTAACTGAGCTGTTGTGAGTGCTAAGGAATCACAAAGCCCATGTGTCTGTACTTGCAAAGTACTGGGTAAAAGTAAAGTGTTCTTTTAAGGTCAGACCTGTTCAAGGGGCTTCCGCTACGCACTGCTGAGGTCTTGGGACTTGCTCCAGCGCAAAGCTGGTCGGTAAGTGGCCTGACGAACTCTCTGACCGAGGGCTAAGCGCTCCTTAGGGAGGCTTGGGCACCACAGGCTCATTCATAGGGTCGCCGTAAGTCCAAGGGAAATTGACAGCATTTGACAACAACAATAACATCCCGGAACACTATGAACTGCTGGATAGCTCTGTGGTGTAGGCATCCAGCTGAGGATCGAGAGGTTGGGAGTTCAATTCCCCACTGGGCCTTGTTAACAGGGGATGGACTTGATGGTCCATAGGAGAACTGCTGGATAGCTCTGTGGTTTAGGCATCCAGCTGAGGAGCGAGAGGTTGGGAGTTCACTTCCCCACTGCGCCTTGTTAACAGGGGATGGACTTGATGATCCATATGATCCTTTCCTGTTCTGCAGTTCTAAGATGATGATGAATAACCATACTTTAAATGGGGCCATCCCCTTTCTGGTCACAACAATCTTAATAGAACTGCCCATGGCAGTAATCTGAAATGTTATGCATAGTTTTAAATATTATTTTAAAAGTAGCATCGCAGGGGCACAGCGCTCTTTCTCTGTGACTGTAATTTTCAAAAGTAATTTTTAAAAGAACTTTTCAGTCACCTTGTTCTGATTTTGACCAGAGCATACACTGAATGCACATACAGGAAATGCACAACATGCATCATATGGATGGTAGCTCCATCTGTAGTTTAGCATAATTCAGGGTGGAACTCCTCTAGCGGTGCCTTAACAGGGCTCAGGTAGAAAGGAGCCTATCAGGCTAAGATCCCTGAACCTTGCCGAGCTACCTCATTCTATAGGGAGCCAGACACTGCTTCATCCGCGGGGCATCTTTCTTAGGACTGCAGGAGCTACTTGTTTTCGTGACTGTTAAAATGCTTTCTGAGTTAAACAGCAGAAGCAGGCCTGTTTATTACGCCCTCTTTGGCTATTGTTTGAAAACAAAGCAGGTATGTCATCCAACAAAGGTCTTTTGGTGCGTGAGTGAGAAAACAAGCTTCAGCCCCACCACAGCAACACCTCCTCGTGGCTGGCTCTTTTGATCTGCTGTTGTTATTCTTGAGGTTGCTTGTTGACACTGGCCCGGCTTAAAACGTTCTGGTATGAAAGATGAGCAACAGCCAAAGGATGCAAAGAAAACTTGAGTTTTAGGGTGTGGTTTTTAGCATCGACTTTCAAGAACGTTTTATGATTAGGTGAGAAAATTCAGCTCCCAGAATATTTTACCCCGCCTTTCTCCTTAAAAAGAACCTAAGAAAGCTTATATCATTGAGAGACAATATTTAAAGCTAAGAACATTAAGTATACAAATACTAAAAAGGATCAAACAAATACCACATTAAAAGATGATAAACAACCAAAAACACATTCAAAGCAGTAAGGCACTATCATCCAGTTAAAAATGCCAGTTAGGCAGTGAGTCACTAAGGGAAAGCTTGCCTGAAGAGAAATGTCTTTGCTTGTGGAAGGACACCAAAGATGGGGCCAGTCTGGCCTCCAGTGGGAGGGAGTTCCAGAGTCTGGGGAGGAGCGACAGAGAAGGTCTTCTCCCATGTCTTCACCTAATACACCTGGGAAAGTGGAGGGACTGAAAGAAAGACCTCCTCTGATGATCTTAACACTTGCAACAAGTTATGTGATACACACACTGCTCTGTGCTCCAACAGAAGTGGGACAGTTGAAACAGTGCAGGGGGAATCTTAGGAAGTTACTACTGTTATCACCTTTCAATCTCCCACCAAAGTGGTTGCCTCACTTTGCCCAGCAGCACGGTGGACCCTACATGGAGTTAATCACACCCTCCTGACATGTAACCAAGAGATAGTGACTAGGAAATGGCAAAATAAACCTGTGGTTAATTCTCCCCCGCCCCTGAACCTTAATACTGCCAATATCCAAATCCCTTACTCCATTTTGATCCCTTAAAGGGGGAGGGGGGAGAAGTCCCATCAAAGGATCCCTGAAGCCTTGGGGGTGTTGATTTGCCTTTAATTCATGACAGGATTTTGCATGAGATAAACAATATGGTTTTTATTTTTTAAAAAAACCAGGATACTTGGATGGAGGAGCTTAAAAGCCTTTCATTTATGGAGCAGTTCTAAAGCCTAAGGTGTTCGGTCCCCCTTCCCTGCAAACAAAGCGTCTGAGTGAATGATGCATTTTTTACAAAGGAGATGTCACCTCGGTGAGTCGCTTCCTTGCAAAAATAAAATAAGGAGAGGTGCACTTAGAAACAGCACTAAAACATCAGCCGTGCATTAATTTCAAAGCACGGAGGAGAAAGAATTACCTAGCAGGCCTCAAGAGATTGTAATATTTCCTCTTTCTGGGAAGTGGTGGCGGCAGCAGTGGGGGGGGGCCAATTTCGCCTCGCTGGAGTTTGACATGGACAGCTCAGAGCCTGTTTGTATCTAATTAAACATTCTTTCATGAAGGACAACACAGACAGCGACTCCAAGGTGACCAGACTGTGCTTTTTTAAAAAGAAAAAGAAAAGAAACGCAGAAACCTCTAGAGGCATAGAAAAAGGAGATCAAAAGGAGACGGCAGGCAGGTAAAGTCAAGTCAGGATATTGCCAGGCATATTTGGGGGGGGGGGCGGGGAGGAAAAAAAAAAGCACACACACAAGACAATACATGCAACACCTCCCACCGGGACCCGTTTGGGATGACTAAACTCCAAAGTCTTGCCATGTCTGGGAGTAAACAGTCAGGAAGATTTCTCTCCCATGACCTGCCAGGAAAGAAATGTACACCTTCATCTCATTGCAGAGAAATCCATCTTCACAAAGACGGCAAAGGGGGAAGCCACGTCAGCTGCGCATGCTTTATATCTATGCCTTGTACTGCCTTCCCATCACTGCACCTACCTGCTGTTAAATATTGTAATCATTTATTGTATTTTTTTTTAAAAATTGTATTTTTTTTTTTATTGTATTTTTTTAAAAAAATTGTATTTTTTTTTTAATGTTGTAAGCTGACTTGGGTCCTCTTCGGGGTGGGGGTGGGAGAAGGCAGGGTATAAATAATAAAATAAAAAAGGAAATAAAATCTTTCTCATGCTATTCAGGCTGACAGCAGCTTTTAGACTACAGACGTTGAACACAATATCCATGCGCAGTGGCAGTAAACCCCCCTCCCCAATATACCAGATGCTTGTGTCCAGCAGAAAAAGAGTGTGGTTGCTCCTCATGCCCTAGGACCCTGATGGGATGCCCGCTACTAACAGAAACCAGGTAGGTAGGTAGGTAAATGTTTGATCCTATCCACTGGGGTGGTTCTGGCAAGATTGTGTTTAGAAGACTTGCAGCACAGTGGTTAAACAGCAGTACTGCAGCCAAACCTCTGCTCACAACCTCAGTTCAATCCCAACAGGCTCAGGTAGCTGGCTAAAAGGTGACTATCATTCCATGGTCAGTATTACTGAGTATTCAGTTCATTAGAGTGTGTGTGTGTGTGTAGCCTGCCTAAATTGTAAAATGCCCAGAGAGTGCCTTAAGCACTGTGGGACAGTATATAAACAGCACACTTTGCTTTTGTATTATAAGTTACACTTACATTGCAGAATTCCTTAAATCTGCTCAGCAAAGCACATGGATCTCCTTCTCATTTTACCCTCACAACCACCTATGGGATAGATCACTGGTTCTTAACCTTGGGTTACTCAGGAGTTTTGGACTGCAACTCCCAGAAGCCTTCACCACCAGCTGTGCTGGCTGAGGTTTCTGGGAGTTGCAGTTCAAAAACACCTGAGCAACAAAGGTTAAGAACCACTGGGATAGATCATGCAGAGAGTTAAGGGGAGGAGTGCATAGGTAGGCAGGCAGGCAGACAGACAGGAACAAGGTCTCCAGATTACTGGATACATTTCATGGTTCAGTGCAAAGTAGAACCTGGCTTTCGTGTGTCTCACTCTGACACACTAACCACTGCACCATATTGATTCTCTCCTATGAAGATGTTGTTTATCTCAGTTAAAGATAAACACAGAAGAAAAATCAGTGACGTCATGGGACCAGCAGAATCAAGCATCCTGCATGCAGTAGTAGTGGCCATTCCTGTTTTCTCATAGATGGTGCCATGTTTGGACACAGGTTGGCATGATTCACTTTCTCTACCCACCCACTGTTGGGTTCTCAAGTTCACTCCTTTCACCTGCCTTCAGCATGACTTCCGGAGCGTTTTCCTTCCTTTTAATCCCATCAGGATTAAAAGGAAGGAAAAGACAAACAAGGATCAAGACCACACAGACAAAACGGAAGAAAGGCCTTCCTTATTTAACTTGGCCGACCATACAAAGAACAGGCTCAAAATCGGTACCTGCAAGAGGTCTCGCGGAAAGAGATGTTAAGATCCCAGTGTGCATGTATCCTGTCGAGGAAGTCGGAGAAAAAGGAGAGGGAAAGACAGAGAGAGAGAGAGAAAAGAGCATTCAGTGGAAAGAGTTCCCAAGCAACCAACATGACATTAAAACTCAGAGAAAGACAACCTTGTAAACTAGCAAAGGTGTTAACCTCTCCTTCCCACTTAACCACAATAAAGGGATCTGAGTCCATCTCCTCCCACTGATTTTGCCAGCAGATGTGTGTCTGCCCAAAGTTGTTCAGCAGGTTACCTGACACAACTTTACCTGTCTTGAAACACACATATCTTTATCGTGGCTTGCAAACAAACTTAAACTCCTATCTTCAAACTTACTGCTGGCCATAATGAACATTGTCACAGTCAGGTAAAGGTTAAGAATAATGGGGATTTTTTCCCCCTCCTGCATTCTAATTTTTTAAAAAAATAAAAACAACTCTTGGAGGTGGATTTCCATCCCAAGCATGAAGAAATGTGTGCATTTTTGAGAATGCCTTGAAATGAACTGAAAGTCCATTTGAATTGGCTAATTTCAATACATATAGCTGTTTCCAGAATGGGGATGAGCTTTCTGTACTGACACACCAGAAAAACAGAGAAAGCAGCCAAATTCAGTACTATGAACACAGAGAAATGCTTATGGGATTCAAATTCAGACTGGTAAGAGCACCTGGATGGAGGAATCTATCAGTTCAGCTACCTCCCAAAAATCACATTTTTAAAATCCCATGTTCTTTCTTGCCCCAAATTCCAGGGATAATTGTGAATTTTTATTTTAACAAAAAAACTTCAACAGTGAATTGAAACTAAATCTTAACTGATGGAATAAAAGTGGATGGGGCCAAGTGGGCAGATAGGAGGGAGGAAGGCTTTGCTACATCTTACATCTTTCTTGTAAGGCAATGAGGAAATTATTACCCCCCTGCGGACAAAAGTGGTTTCGTTTTCCTGTTTTAACACAGCAATCTGTGGCGTGCTGGAAAAGCCCTGCGCGTGGCCACATTAAATGGGGAAAGGTGGAGGTGACAGACCTTAACTCACGTCACAGGGTGAGCTTTGTAGCAAGCCGACGCAGCCAAGGAGACCTGAACGGCGGCTGGCACTGCACGGCTCCCCCCTCCCTCAAGCCCGTCCCACCCTGTGCTGGTTTCTCCCTAGCTGTAAATAAATCATTAGCCCTTTCCCTGCTGCCGAAATTAATTTGGCACGTTCTGCCTGCAAGCCGGAGAGACAAGACTCCAGACAAGAAGCAGCCTAAATTTAGACGGTGCCAGGCGGTGGCGGCGGGCGGATGTGATTTTATCCTTACTGCCACTCGGCTGTTCCAGGTACTGTACAGGGGTAATCTCCACATCTCTGGCAACCGCTGTGAGTAGATTTGTTTGATATTTTGCAGCCTCCCTGTTACTCTTTTGCAAGAACCGGGCCTAACAAAGGAAGTTTTTGCTCCTTGACTCCTGACCTACTGCTCAGCCTATGTTGCAACCACACGTTGTTAATCACTCTCATTCCCAGATACTGAATGCACACTGTAAAAGCAGAGGGGGGAAAGAAGTCACCCCCATTCTTTATGGGTCCAGTTTCCAAAAATCCAATTTCTGACCGGAGGGTGAAGCTCTCTCCCAACTGCAGGGCCTACCTGAACAATTTTGAACATGGTAACACAGCTCTGAACTCCCAGGCAGATCAGCTGAGCTAGGAATGCTGTCGCCCAGCAGATGTGACCATCCCCCACAGCTACGCCTGCGCTGCGTGACTTTGATTCATTGCACAAATCTCGAAATGTAAGCGGAGCAGGGAGGGACCTGTTGAGTCTGTCATTTGCAAAGCACCCCAGACCGAGATAGCAGCAGAAACTTCAAAGGAAATTTCCCTATGCACATGTACACCTACGACGCACCAAGCTTTTGGCCCTACCACCAGATTTTACCGCCTTTCTGTGCAGTTTTAAGGATTTTGGCAGATTCAATTAAAAAACAAACTCCCCCATCTTGAAAAGGTATCTGGCACTTTTAATACATTACGGAGCAATTCACGGTCATTCCTTGTAGCCACACAGAAGCTATTTCCCCTCTAAGGCTTCACATGGCTCAGAATTAAAAGCTCCTAGGTTACACCTTTAGAGCATTTTCAGCAAAAGGCTGGGAAATACATGGCGCCGCAGAGGAGAAAGTATATCCGCACCTTGACAACCACCGCTATCTGCAGAGCGGGATAATTAAACACCCGCATTTAAACAAATGAATAGGTAAGAAACGAAATTAAATTCCAATTATCTTCTATCTCCTGCCCCCACCAATTTAGCCCCCTCCCTTTTTTCTGGGTAGCTTAATGGCGCGCTCGCTTCACATTTCCCTAGTTTCTATGGCGTTATCACCAATTAGATTTCCGCGTTTTGCTTTAGCGGGTTATTCATTCAATTGAAATCACATTACTAATCATTTGCCGGCTCTCAAGCTGCACGCCTGCATCTCTGGGTGGGACTGGAGGGGCCACAATGACTCCTTATAAATTACTAATAATTAAAAGGAGAGAGGGAGATTGGAGAGGGATGAGAGCAGGAGGGGACGTGCTCAGAGAAGAACAGCCGGGCCATGTCTCCTGGTGATTCTCTCTCCACAAAAACCTCCCCTGACTCTCCTTACAAGGTGCATCAGTTACAAAGAGCTGGATAAGAACAGCCAGAGGGGTCCATCAAGAAGTAAAGGCAAGGATTCGGCTGTGCTAGAGAGAAGAAGCTGGCATGTGGGAGGACAGCGTGCCGAGGAGGGGAGCTTGGAAAGAGACCAGTCCCTAGGAGCAAAGAGGCTTCTCCATGTTCCCACAGATTTTCCTCCTTTTTTTTTTTGGTTGGTCTTTGTTTACACAATCAAGAAATTGGGGGGGGGGAGAGAGAGAGAGAAAGAGAGAGATGGCTCTAAGAACTTTCATCCACTGTGCTACATCTTAAGAAAAGAAGACTGAAGGGAGATATGACAGCACTTTTCAAATACTTGAAATATAGTAAGAACAAGGAAAGGCAAGATCTGTTCTCAGTCCTTTCAGAGTCCGGGACACTCATATAAGGCTCAAGCTACAGGAAGCCAGATTCCGGCTGAATATCAGGAAAAACGTCCAGATGGTAAGCCAGATTCTGGCTGAATATCAGGAAAAACGTCCTGATGGTTAGAGCAGTACGACAAGGGAACCCATGACCTGGGGAGGTGGCTGAGCACTCCAACGCTGGAGGCATTCAAAGGAAATTTAGACAACCACTTAGCAGATATCCTTTGATCTGTATTCCTGGCTTGATCAGAGGGTTGGACTTGATGGCCTGATAGGCTCCTTCCAACTCCACAACTATGTAAAGCTTTCAGGTGGGCCCCTACATGGCTCGTGATTCACCCATGTGCTCACACATCCCCAACTCTTTCCTAGGAAAGGACTTCTCCAATAGAACCCCCTTCGCCATCCGTCCGCCTTCCCCTGCCTATCAGTAATAGTGCATCATAAAGCACCAATTTCCACTCGCTATCAAATCTAAGTCCTCATTAGACCGGCTGCTGCTTCCTGGCACTCTGGATCAAATCCAGCCTTCGTTTCCCAGATGGATCTTAAATGCATTTTATTTATTAGGGTGACAGTCATTATTATGAAGTGGTGACATCAGCAAAGGGCAGCTGCACTGGGGGAGGAAATAGCAGAGCACGGAAGAACTGGACTGCGGGAAGCAATGCGGAGACAGAATACAAGGACACGCGAACGGTGTTATCTAGCTTGACCCTTAATTGCAAAGTTTTTTTTCCCCCTCCACCTTGAATATGAAGGAATTCTTGGTAAGTTCTGGCCAGGAACAGAAATGAAATCATTGGCCGTCTTTGCCTAATGGTAGATGACGGGCTGTGGCTCCAACCACATCATGGCACAGCCTCTCTCACAAGGTGGCTCGGGAGGGCAGCACAGGCTGTGGGCCACTCACCGTTCTGCCCTCCAACATAGTGTTGCTGCCTCTCACTTACTGTGCTGCTTGGAGGATATCAAAGACCCTCCCTCCTTGCCCTTTGTGTTGGCTTCAGGGCACAGTCATTAAACTGCAGAACTTCAGTTAAGACTTTGATCATGACCCAGGTTCAATCCCAGGTAGTGGGCTCAAGGTTCACTCAGCCTTTCATCCTTCTGAAGTCAGTAAACTATGTACCCAGAGGGAGGAGGGGGAGGGGGAGGCATGTGCAGCCTGCATAATTAAATTGTAAACTGCCCAGAGAATGCTCGAAGCAGCACACTTTGCTTTAGCTTTTTCCCACCTCCACAGCTGGAGCAAAAGTAAAATTGAAAAAATTGAGAGAGCTCATGTCCCTGCTTCCTCTGCATCTTTTAATCAGGGTGTTCCTTAGGGGAACATGACGTGACCATATATAATAGGCAGGCAGTGTAGTCTCCTCCCAAACTTGTCAGACAACAATTCCCATCAGCCTTAGCCAGCACAAGCCAAAGATGGGGAATGCTGGAAGCTGTAGTCCAACAGTATATGGAAGGGGCTCATTAGTTAGGTCACCACCAATGCACTAAATTACAAGGATTTGAATAGAGGAGATTACAGAGAGGCCCGGTTAAAAGGCACATATAGATTCAGCAGTGTTGGCCACAGAAAAATGCTGAAACATGGCGTTGGGGGAGATTTCTCTGAGTGTGCAGCTGCACCTTGCAAACATGCAATGGGGGAGAGGAGCAGAAACGTGCGCGCGAGTGCATGCTTTGGTTTGAACTCTAATCAATTAGAGAGTCAAAGAGCAGAAGCCTTCAGGGACGTCAAAAACGGCCTTCCGCTTAAAGAGCTCTGGGATATGGCTGACAGACTGACAGCCACGAACCATTAAAGCTTTCAGGGAGACGGGCAATTTTGCTATTAGAAAATAGAAGCCTGGTAGGAGCTATGCGGGTGACCTGGATTGCTGGAGGCAAAACAGAAGGGAAGTGGGGGCAGCGGGCTGACGGGTGGGGAGGGGAGAGAAAGGGAATGGGGAAGGGTG